AAAAAAAGCTACCATATTCTGTAAGAACCATTACTGCCAACAGGTCTAGGAGGTAAGACAGTAAGGAGATGCCTGCTTCAGACATTCCAGGGGAATCTAACAGATTGCTGCAACTTTCTCGCTAAAGAATCAGTTACACTCACGGTCTGTGGGTTCGAGCCCTGCATTGGGCTCCTCAGCTGGCAGAGTGGAGCCTGCGTGGGATTCTCTATCTCTCTCTGCCCTTCCCCCACTCATGCTGTCTCTCTCTCTCTCTCTCTCAAAATAAATACATAAACTTAAAACTTTTAAATAAAAAAGAGTCAGTTACTGTCCTGTATTTTTGTTGTTGTTGTTCATTTATTTTTGAGAGAGAGACAGACAGACAGAGAGACAGAGACACAGAATCCGAAGCAGGCTCCAGGCTCCGAGCTGTCAGCCCAGAGACTGACTCGGGCTTGAACCCATGGACTGTGAGATCATGACCTGAGCCGAAGTCGGACACTCAATTGACTGAGCCACCCAAGCGCCCCCACTGTTCTGTATTTTTATGTGAACAGACATCAGTTGGAAGATGAGTCTGCCAGTGCATGGGTGTAGGCAGTGTCAGGAGAGAGGCATCCTAAGAGGCCCATAAAATAAGCAGGCTAAGAGGACAGAACAGAATCTGAGAGCTCAGGCAAAGCCGCCTGGGCACAGCAGTTGGCTCCCGGAGCAATTTAAACGATGAGGTGAGAGGCACTAAATGCAAAGGGAACTCCGAGGACAGGACGATCAATCCCTGCCAAGCTTATCTCCCGACAAGGGGGAGGACTCCAGCTTGCAGCTGTAACATTAAAATGTAATGTTTCCACTGGGATTTAGCGTGGCAGGTTTCCCTGAAGCTTCGGTTTCACTCAGTTAACTAATTATGAGAGAATGTGACATTGGTATTTACTTTTCCTACAGGGACAAATCATTCCCAGCAGGAGAGACAGGTTGTTATTTTTGTTCTGTTTTGTTTTGTCATTAAAAAGAGATTATTTACACAGTAGTAAATAAACTCTTGTTAAAGGGAGTTTTTCCTTTCCTTCTATAATTCTATCAATTCACCTTAACGCTGACAATCATTTCTTTTGTTTTCCAGAGACGGGGGGGACATAAATAAGCAAGGGCTGGGTGTTAGAACTGGGTTTGAAAATTAACTCTACCACTCACTAGCTGTGTGATCTTAAGCAAGTTAGTTAGGCACTGTGAGTCTGTTTCCTCCACTAAAAAATTGAGAATAACACATCTACTGTGGGATGAAATTAACTCTCATATAGTTGAAGCACTTTAGTACGGTGCCTCTGTACAAAAAGTGCTCAATAAATTTTAGCCTTTATTCTTAATGACTCTGATTCCATATTATATAAATAGAAACATGTTACATTTCATTTATGCCGTATATGGTCTGTTTTCTATGCGACCCCACATCTAATCATGAACTGTATCTTTACTTTGTCACCACAAGCTACATTGTGTGTAAACCATTTCACTCTTCCTCATCCCGATATAAAAAGGTTTCCAATGTAAATTCAGTATCTAATGATAATGTTGAAGGAAACAGATTTCTGCCCCTCTTCCACCCCCAGGACATCTTTTAACTTCTCTATTTTTTAAGTTTATTTATTTTTGAGAGACAGAGAATTTATTTTTGAGAGAGAGAGAGAGAATTTATTTTTGAGAAAGAGAGAGAGAGAGAGAGAGAGAGAGAGAGAGAATTTATTTTAGAAAGAGAGAGAGAGAGAGAGAGAGAGAGAGAGAATGGGAGGGACAGAGAGAGAGAGAGAGAGAGAGAGAGAGAGAGAGAGAATCCCTGATGCAGGCCTCCACTCACAAACTGCGAGATCATGACCTGAGCTGAAACTAAGAGTTGGATGCTTAACGGACTGAGCCACCCAAGCACCTCTCTTTTTACCTTATCAAAGTATGCAGTGCTGAGTAAATATCACTAATCAACTCACACCTCCGCACTGACTGCCTGGACAATAATAGCATTGTGTTTGGGGTACTTTTAACAAACTGGAAAGTGATTTCGCAGACGATCTCCCACTTGAACTCCTAATTCCATGACATAGGCAGGGTAGACCTGAATAGCTCCACCTCACAGATAAGGAAGTAAAAGCTAATAGAGGATAAATGAAGAGCCATGATATTCAAGCTTATTTTCTATGAAAGGTAATCTGTGGGAATTGAGAACGCCAGGGATATTAGACTTCGGAAAATTAGATTTTCTCAAGAACAAAGTCTGTTTTGAAGATATCCAGAGTAACCGATTACTAAAGAGAAAAGAAAGGTCATTGGTAGTAAGCTAACAAAACAGTCAAGAGGCATGGGGTTTTATATGCCAATTTCACTCTCCATTTCCCCAATAAGCCTCAATTTTTTTATCACTAAGTTTGAGAAAGTAAAAATGTCACTTCTTACCATTTTTAAAAGCACACATATTGCAATGTCATCATCGTGTCCAAATGTAAACTGGATGACAGAATATTCAGGAGGTTTAATGTGAACCACAGAAAAAATGAACACTTAAAAATGCATAAACATGAGAAAACATATTTTAAGTGCTAACAGAAAATCCTGGTGATAAAGAAAAGGACAAGAATATGTTTCCAAGGTTACATGAGCTAGAAGATGATGGAAAATTAATAAGATTACAAAAATCAGCCCTGTAATTTCAAATTACATATTCGCAGAGATTTTTGGAAGTTACAGACTCAAACTAAGAGGCATGGTTTTATAGTAAGTTTTTTGAAGCCATGAGAATAAAAACCCCTCAAATTTGGTTAATATTTCTTTAACTAGTTCTACTAGTACTAGTTAAGTACTTAATACTAGTTAAGAATCAATTATATGGGGTCTTAAAATGATCAATTCTGAAGTACTATTTATACTGAGCAAGTCTTTCTGGTGGTAATCATTTTTCAAGGACTTCCAAGGTCACCACCAATGCTCACTGATGGCTCATAACTCCTTAATTCCTAGCAAACTACAGAATTGCAATTCAGAAGTCTCTCCACATACCCCTTTTTATGGAATAGGGGATAAGATAAGTTCTAATAGACTGGAAGGTCAAAACAAGCAAGGGCCATTTAGAGGGACCCTAGTTCAAAATAAAAACCAGAACCCAAGCTTTGAGTCATTGGAACTTGGAGGCCCAAGGACCTGGAACCATGCAATAAAAAACCTGGTCGTATCAACACCAATGAGCAAAACAGCATACCATAATAGGTCATTATTTGGTGATTGGTTTCCTAATTCTTACTTAACAGGTCTAAACATTATTTGTGCTGTGATCTTCAGAGAATGTGATACATCTTCATTTCAGTACTATGAGAGATCTTATGATATGACAGAATAGGCCTGCCTAAAACTCCCTCACTTTGTCCTAAGTCATTCATTTAATGAACATCTGTTGAATGTTGGCTATTTGTTGGGATCTATATCAAAGAACTCACAGTCTAGCAGGGGAGACAGGTAAATCAAGCATCAAACCTATGTGTCAGATTCTAGAAGAAATATATTTCTTGCAAATGAGAAGTCGGTCAGAAAGCTCTTGGGGAAAATGAGATGATTAACAAGGTCTCAAATGGTAAGTATAAACTGTGTAACTTGCAAAAAAGTGGAGTAGCTTCCTGTCACAAACAACAGCACCGATAAAAGCAGGGAAACATGAAAACATGGTGAGGTCTAGAAATTACATAGGATACTACATGGCGAGAGGATACAGCATGGGTAGCAGAAAGGGGAACACAGGCCAAAAGAAGCAATAAGCAGTAGAGGTAGACAAAGATTTCATCATTTACTATTTCTATTCCATGTGAAGATACAATATTGGAAAGCTGAATACAATGATTTGTCTACTGGTAAGATTTCCTCCCACAAGCAATGGGAGTAGATTTTTGCTGTAGAATGGTCAAGTGTGGTGCTAAGTCTACAGTGAACTGGAGGATGGAAAACTAGGACATGGATACCAGTTAATAAGACAATTTTAAAAGTCCAAGTAAGACATGGAGAGGCCCCAAGCTACAGCCATGGGATAGAGAATAGAGATAAAAGAATATAAAAACCAGAGTTAATAGCATTTGGTGACCAAACAGAACGAGGGGATGAGGGGGGAAGTTTACAGAGCCTTCATGTGCTTTACTTAGCTGGCTGAGGGGGTAATGGTGCCCTTGGCCAACCTGGGGATGGCAGGAGGAGGAATGCCGGTAGTTCCAGGGTCCTGGTGTATTTCTCTTTTATAAGATTAGTCACATCTCACTTTATATTGAGAGAGGTATGTGTCATTCCTCCACCCCTTTGCCACAAGACTCATAAAGTTCCTTGAGGGGGACAATTCTGTCACATACCACATTGTCCCTGCATATAGCCCCCAACAGCATATTTGTATAACATGATTATATAACAGAACGGACCCATGGTAGACACTCAGTGAACATTTTTGTATGACTGAAGGAAAAAATGAACAACTCTCAAAGTTAAATGTGACAAAACTATACATTTTATCCTTTGAATGGAATAATTGTGTCATAAATGCAAATAACTCACCTTGGCTGGGTAATAATTCAGACCATTACCAATTAGGTTCATTTCAGACTGAGCAAATTCCAACATCCAATCCTGAAGGGACTTTTGGGAATATCTACTACAAACCCTCATTTTAAAAGATATAAATCTGTGATTCAGAGATGTTACACAGCTAGCCCCAAGTCACAAAAAGGATCCAGTGATGGGACAGAAATCAGGCAGATAAATTAAGCTTTGTAATATTCGTCCACCAAAATGGTTATATACAGATTTGAAGACACTATGAGATATCACACTTAGCTAGGATGCATTGAGTTTTTAAAGTGCTTGACATTTCACACACAAAAAATACATGAGGCCAACGTCTTAGAAACATTTTCTCAGATAATTCTTGCCTCTGACAATGAAATGTAAGAACGGCGCTCAACTTTTAATCCTGAATTAGTATAAGTAAAACAGATTCTTACCATGATCTTCTGAAGAGACTGGTGACCTAAAACGAGATAATAAGCATGATAAGTGTTTTGTAAATGACACTTTATAAATGCAATGCCGATCAAGAATAAACTCCTAGAAATAATGCCCCCCAAATTCAGTTAAATAGAAAGTCAATACAGTAGATAGTGTAATTAAGTTGTTGGTCAAATAGTTTATTCTAATCAATAACTCTCAAAGCTTACCCGGATTGGTTGGGTGATTGGAGTTCATATAATTTCAGCCTACTGCATGGTGTTATAGGACTGCAACACACTTAGTGAAGTCTGCATTTATCACAGACAAACAGAAAAGTCAGAGAAATTTGGTAATGGATGGAATCCTGTGATGTCCCCAAATGCCCAAGGCCAGGCTTCCAAAGAAAATGCCAGGGATGAAAATCAGCACCAGATGGAGTGTGAGTAAAAAGAAATCTACTTGGGACGGTAAAAAATGAGACATAAGTAAAATAAATGGTATGTGCCCTTCTCATTATTGGTTTTTGTTTCCATTCTTTGTGGAATTGAATGTTTCAGTGAGCACGCCATAGGCCCTCTGCGTGCCAGACTCGTAGTTCTAAACCCGGAAGAACCAGTTTGAGGCAAGAGGGAAACCACTGGGGTCCCATAGAGCTTTTATAAATCAATGCCTTTTATGACTTTTCCACACCATTTGAGGAAGGCACCGATGAAGCATCTTATCGAGCCCTTCACAATAAACATCCTTCTTTCTTCCGCAGCTCACTACTCATTGAGTTGCTCTGAACGGTACAGACACAACCCTGAAGATGAATTCCCCTCGGGCTTAAAAGACAGTCTTGACTCCACCAGCTCGTCCTTTTCATAGGATAAAGTGAGACACACAATTCTGTTTTCACGGAATTTTGAAGGGAAATGCCGGGAAGCACCCTCTCTTCTAAATGACCAGCCTGCTGGAATCTGTAGCATGGAGGGGACCAAAGGCTAGCACGAGAGTTTGGTAATCTACCCAGTAATATAACTAGTATTTATAAGACATGATGACAAATGTTGGGACAAGAATGATTTGGCGGATGCACAGAGGTGGAAGGAAGGTTTTAGCTACTTTGGGACGCTTGATAATGCTGTACTTTATCTACTGATTGTTAATATTCCTGTTCATTATGTGAGTGATCAGTAAAGTATAAAGACACAGCAGTCGTGGTGAGAAAGCCTTCGATTTCTGTTAGGGGCAACGTGGTAAATCATTTCAACCTTACCTGTCTTGTCAAGTAAACTTCTGCATGTGAAAACAGTAGAGGGTCCCCAGATTTGGTAGGGGGAAAACCTGACATCGGGGTCATGGACACAGGGAGCACTGAAAGGGAACCTGCTACAGGCTACCCCCCTCCCCCAGGCCAGTCCCCCGCAGAGTTCGCTGCCTGAGAAATGCCACTGGTCTCCCCAGGGGAGGACAATCTATGCTCTTCTTGGAAGTGCCCTATTTTATACCATCCACACACTAGTCTTCCCCACTGAATTGTGAGCAAAAAGAAAAATAGGACCATGTCTTACTTAGTATAGAATAGGCCCCTGACTGAAATGTGTTGAATTGAATTAATGTCAGCCCCACCACACTGGTGTTTAGACTCAGACACATTATGGAGCTCCTCAAAAAACCATCATGTCCCCTGCAAACTGTCTGCCAGACGGGTTTGCCAGCTCCTAGGCCAGCCATGAGGGAAGGGCCTATGGAGGAGACAAGCTCCAAGCTCTGGAATGGGGATAATGTGAGCACTCGAAGAGCCAAAAGACATCCAATGCACCCAGCAAAAGAGACCCACAATCTGCCTTAACGATTAGGAAAAACACAGCGGGGAGAGAGTGCTGAATACAGCTGAATAGAGCTGAATGGGATTGGAAGTTGAGTCTACCGAGAAGCATGTATTTGAAATAAGATAATTTCTTACGATTTCTAGGGCATCAAAAAGAGCCAGCAACAAGGTAACATCTTCAGCCCCGGTGTTTTGTGACGGGAATCAAGCAAAAACACATCTTGGATTGTTTGCAATTAATTTCTCACAGCGCTATAGGAACAAAGAAAAATCCACGCCAACAGACGACTAAATGCCTCAGGTGGAAGGCTTGCAAAGCAGAGCTTTCAATGCCTTTCTGTGAAGGCAAAGCACTAATATTAAATCTGAAAAATTCCAGATGGCTTCGTTCAAGTCCCAAGGGGATGCATTCTGCGGTACGTCCAGGCAGTGGGGAAGAACTATCAATTTCAGAGTGTTTTCTAAGGATTAGTCATGTTGAGTTTTCTGTGCTGAATGTCTCCCACATGCCTGGATTTGTGGAATTTTAAGACATATGGAGTATTTCAATCCTCACTCAGTATTTCACCTTTCACTCTTAACGAGTCACTAAATTATACTACTGAGACATGCACATCATCCATTATTGCTGGAAATGGGCATAAAAAGTTTTACAGAACTTAGCTCAGGAGAGAGGGAAATTCATGAAATCAGCAATATAAGTAGTTATTTTTAAAACAGAGAGGTTGAGCCCCAGGAACAGATAATCTTCCTCAACCTGACAACTGAGGAATGCGGGAAAGCTCACTGCGTTTCCCTCCCACTGCACCTGCAAGACTTGTGGCTGGGTTGCAGACTGTTCGTTTCTCCTCCAGATACACTTTATCCTGGAGATAGCATCTGCTCATATAACGCAAAGTAGGACTAGCATTCAAATAACTCCAGGATTTCGGGTCTTCCTCACCTCTTTCCTCAGTACTAGTCTTTTATTACGGTCCACAGAGTATCTGCACTTGATTTTGCTTAGTTTTATTTGTTTTGTGAGGTTCTTTTTACATTAAAAAAAATTTAATGCTTTATTTGTTTTTGAGAGAGAGAGAGAGAAGCAGAGTACTAGTGGGGGTAGGACAGAGACAGAGGGAGACACAGATTTCGAAGCAGGCTCCAGGTTCTGAGCTGTCAGCACAGAGCCTGACGCAGGGCTCGAACTCGTGAACCGTGAGATCATGACCTGAGCCGGAGTCAGACGCTTAACAGACTGAGCCACCCAGGCACCCCCCCTTTTTTTAAACATGTTATTAATATCTCATTCAAATTCAGCAAAGTAAAATAATAAAAACAAGAACTCAAGTCCTGGACTTTAAAATCTCCCTCCTATTTTCAATCTTTCTACTTATAATAACCCAAACCTAAATGGTAATTATTATTTGAGCCCCTATTAGGTACCAGGCCCTGTGCCTTGTGACAGGGATATAAAGATGAACAAGATACCAATTTCAAGGAATTCAACCTAGTGAAGGAGAAAAATATGTAAACACCCGACTACAGTGAAAACAGTATAATCGTCAAAACATGTACAAAGTAAAGAGGGAGCATGGGAGAGAGACCCATTCTGTCCCAAAATAGTAAGGTCTTTCAACAAGCAAGGACCATGTAAGCCAGGCTTGGAAGGAGAAGCAGAAGCTTGTTAGGTAAGTAAGAAAGGAGAAGAAGCCTAGGCAGAAACACCAGGCATATGAGAAGGAATTCAGACAGGAAATTTCATAATATGCTATCAGACAGGCAAGTAACTCCGTGTTGCTAAAATGTAAAGGAGTAATTGGCTGGGACTAGAGACAGAAAAGGCAGGGGCTGTTACATACAGGGCCTGACGGCCCATTTCAAAGTGTTGGTAATTTAACCTTCTAAGCTAAATGAAGGTTCTGAAGCAGGAAGTCACACATTCCCATTTGTGCTTCTGACCAGGCAGGGTGCACAGTGTAGAACGAAAATGTAAGAATAAAGGCAGAAGACGTTAAAAACTATTATTGCAAACCTTCTGTTCTTCTTTTTGAAATTCATGAAAAATAACAGGGAGAAGGAGAAACAGAAGGAAACATTATCTTTGACTAAACTAGAAGATGCCTATAAACCAAAATCATCTATAAAGAAGAGCTACCAAGTACAGTAAAAATTGGACCAAGTTTCAGGGAGACAGGGAAAGAGTATTTTGATCTCAGATCACTTAAATGATATAAGTTATACAATGTACCACAAAAACTGGCAGAAAGCCCTCCGCTCTGAGCCAGGTGTCTTGCTAGCTAAAAGTAGAATGGAACTCCATAGGGTATTGTTGCTAACAAAAAAAAAAAAGAAGAAGAAGTTGAAAACAGACCCAGAGTCAAGTTTCCAGAAACACACTGACCCACTATCCCTAATTATCTGTTCCAAACTAGTGGTTCCAAAAAGAACTCCTCCAGTACAAATATGAATAATAAGTAAAAAGGAACCAGCATGATATCCACAAGAAAATACTCCAATAAGAAATTAGAATAAGGATCTGCTGACAAACAGAACTGAAGGTGGGAGTGCACTAAAAAGATAATGGTGGGGGCACGTGACAGCTGTTAACAGATTTCTATGAAATTCAGAAATGGAAAAAGGGAAGGAGGGAGCAGGGGAAGGAAGGAATAAAGGATGGAATAGGGCCTCCACAAACAGAAACATAAGAAACACAATAATTATGAAACAGTCCTAGTACCACAGCAGAAGAAAAGAGCAAAAGTTGGTCCAAAGTTTTTGAAAACTCTCGAGGAAAAGCTTGAGGGTTCTTTCCACTGTGTCACCACTGCACTGGGAGAGGAATATTAAAAGGAGGTTGAAAGGTGACTAATAACTAAAATATATATTAAGATATAATCTATTCACTTATTCACCCATTCAAGTATCTGCTTTGTGGAAGTGTCTTGCTGTTTTTCACTTTATTTTTCTGTAAATTTTTTCTGGCTTTTTAAAGTTTTTATTTTAATCCCAGTTAGTTAACATATAGTGTTATATTAGTTTCAGGCATACTATATAGTGATTCAACACTTCCATACAATACACCATGCTCATCATAACAAGTGCCCTCCTTAATACCAATCACCTATTTAACCCCCCCACCCACCTCCACGCTGGTAACCATCAATTTGTTCTCTATAGTTAGGAGTCTGTTTCTTGATTTGTCACTTTCCCTCTTTCTCTCTTTTATTTTCTCTTTGCTTATCTTG